CCCCCGATCGAAATTGTCGGCACTCGTGTTTGCACCCACACACGAGATGCGAGCACTCTCACGGCAGAACAACACCAAACACCGGCTGAGCACGCGTCGTCAAGGCGACTTTTCTAAAACAATCACTTCCAAGCGGGAGAATTGTTGTCGTCGTCGCCGCCGCCGCCGCCGCCGCGAAAGAACCTGGAGCAGCGTTCGCCCTCGTCGAGCGTCGCATTTGCGACGTCGTCCTGCCTGTACGACGCGCGATTCTAAAAGCCCGGCGAGAGTCCTGCCGCGAGGTGGACGCGCCGACACGTGTTCCTCGCGAGGAAATTGACAGTTCGGAGGACGAGGGCAGTTTCGACGGGTCGCTTTATTGGCCGGAGTGTTAGCCGGAGTGAGCTGCGACACACACGACCGGCAGGTAGACAGGATTATACCAAGGATCCTCCGGGGGATACTGGTAGCGCGTGCGCAACTCGCACTACGACGACGAGAGCTCGGTTCGATCGTGGTAGACGGCGAGGAAGAGAGAAGAGGAGAGAGGAGCGACGAGAGGAAGAAGGAAAGAGCGAACGGGGGGGAAAAACGGTAGGGGGAACAACAGCTGCGGACGGTAGGGAGTAGGTAGTCGCGAGTGGGGGTGATAATGGGAAAAACTGCGGAAACTATCGCAGCGAACTTGAAGACACCTAGCAGTTAAGCGATACTTGGCGAAGAGAGTGGAATCAGCGACATCAACCTGTTCGCCTCCTTCTTCTGGGTCCTCCCCCTCGAAGTCTTCGACTTCCGAACTCGCTCGCGCGAGGATTTCCCGCTTCGCTCTCCTTCGGCGAGTCGCTTCCTTCGGCTCCCCGATCGAGATCGACAGGTGTCCCGCGTATTCCGGAGAATTCGCCGCGAAACGGGTTCCGTTGCAAGAAACTACGTAACGAATGTGCAAAGTTATTCCGCCGCCATTCTCGTCTAACTCGGCCCCAATATTTCATCAACAGTTGAGCTTAAATGGACAGCTGTGATCCGCTGAAATTAACAGGTCGTCTGGGTCGACGACCTGTTCAGCCTGTCCGAAATAGCAAGTAGCTTCTCGATCAATGCCAGGGAAAAATAGCGCATTCGTATCTAGCCGTACTGTTCCCCGTGTTTTAATCATGGCGCGATTGTTTGCAGACAGAGTTTCGCGTGTAAGCTTGACTCGATCATCTTTATCGGCCTTTATCTCGAGTGTGACTCAAGATACTGTTTGCTCGTCACTCGAACGTGATATCACCTGAAGCTGAACCGCTCTTAGAAACATCACTCGAGACAGCCGCAGTCGAGTGCGAATCCTTAGGCACACATCATAACGGAGGGATTCGCGCGACGGACTCGTCTCTTTTCGCCAGAAATAAGGGATCAATACTTCCCGGCCAGCTGCCCTTCGGACCGCAGTTTACTCGCCCCCTCTTTGGCTAGGCTCTTCGCCGATTTGGCACCCGCCAGCGAGAATCCGCAATTTATGAGGCTCTCGCCAAGTTTTCATCTCCGCTTTCGTGTCTGCTCTCGAGGTCCTTTTGCCACCAGCCTAACGAATGCACCTTCGGCGAATATTCTCGGCGGCTTTTTCTCTCTCGTAGAGCACTCTCGAGCTTCGAGTCTGCTCGCGTCTTACCGCGGGTAAAGATTTCTCTCGGGAAAATGGGAAATCAGTCGGACGAGAAATCTCCGAATTTCCGCCAAGCTCTCCGCCAAGCTATTCTTCACTCCGGCGCGTCAAAGTCTTTGAGTCCTTTTAATTAGTCTTTTTAATTGTGATTTGTCGTCGGAAACGTGCAGTAATAGGGCAGCCGTACGGAGAGAATATTATAGGTTTCTTTTTCGTATAAATTCTTTTCAATTTTGCCATGTTTCTAGCAGTGCAGAAATAGACTGTGTGTCTATCTCTATCTCGCTGAGGAACACGTAAAAAAATATAATCTTTAGCGAAATCCTTTCATATACGGCCTCAAG